CAACCCCGACCATTCTGTGATTCTGTGAAATCGCTAGTGCACTTTTATATTAAGTAGGACTGGTTTTGTTAACCCTGTCAGAACAAAGGCAAAAAATAAAAGGGCTCTAAGAACAAACAGTGAAACTATCAGGGGCTTAGATTTGCTTACGAGGTAGGAATTTAGAAGATTAGAATTGTGGTTCTATAGATACAGAAAATGCTTTGCAGATATAGATATATAGAAATTGTATGCTCATAATTGCAGGTTTCTGAATTAAGAAAAAAAGCATCAAAGAAATAAAAGGAAAATGAGGGTCAATAAACTCAAATGCCTTAGAAATTTATTTAAAAATAAACTGAATCCCACCCCCCAACTGAATTACTTTACTTTACAAAATGCTACTAGAAGTTAGCAATGAGGCCAATGTTTTCTCGAGAGCACATGAGTGATAAGAGATCTTTCACATGGCGCCAACACAGACTAAGGCTTCTTGTCAGGAAGAAACTTCTGAAGAGGTTTTTCTGTGAGTGTCTGTACTTACAAGTTTTATGTCATCTTCTAATAAAGTAAAAAGAGGTAGTTGAAGACAAGTTTTGGAACTAACTAGGCCATGTTCTGTTTCATATTTTTATAAAATATATGTAAACGTACGTTCTGTAAATTTTAGTATTGTTGTAGTTTATGCAGGTGATGCCTTCAGAAGGAAGTGTGCTGTGTGTTTTCCGAAGCAGCTTTCTAGTTACCTTTTCTGGTTAAAATGTTGCTCATCTTTGGGATTTACTACTATTTGGAAAGTTTTGTGTGGGGCTGACTGAGAGAAAATGGTGTTTTGTTAGTCAGTCTCCATAAAGTCCTTGGATGTTAAGCGTAATATTCCTTCTATTTCTGTCACTGGAAACCATTTGGGTTCTTCTGATGTCTTCAACCACCTCCCCATGCCAAAGAACTTGCCCTAGGTAGTCACGTGGAATTCACCAACGAAAGATACCTACAAATACAAAGTTAAGGGTGCTTTGCAGAATCTTGTTATCTTCTGGATCACAAAGTTGGTAATTAATTTTCATTTCTTTGTTTAAAAATGGAAAATAATTGTATTTCCAGACACCAGCTAGTGTCTACTGTGTATGGCCCCCTCAAAACATTTACTCAGGGCATGCTATGCACTGTCTGCATGCGAGTAGCTCACTGTCTTTGTAAGACTGTTCAGATTCCAGTTTACATGAGATAGTTCATATCTCTGTTTCAAGAGAGAGAGTCCACAGATTTAGTTTACGTGGGTTCAAGAGAAGAGACTCATAATCTCTGGGGGAGCAAAGTTGTGTGAGATCTTGGTGCCTGCAGAAGCACATAGTATGGGACTTGTGGCCTTTTTCATACCCACTGCCCTTACCCATTATTCCTACCATTCCCTTTGAAAACTAACCCTCATATTCTTCATCCTTCATTGCACTATCTCAGTTACTGTGCTTCTCTCTTCTTCTCCCACTTCCATATTTTCTAGCTTTGCCTCCCAAAGCTGTAAGAATATGTAGGTGTTACAAGAACCTTACCATGAGGAGAGGAGAGGCTAGTGTCTAGAGGGAATGCTTTCAAGTTTGACAATTCAGAAAAGATGATGATGTTCTCTTTTCTTTCTAATTAAGCTTTGCTACCTCACTGATCAAAGGTGCTTGCTAGAGACAATTCTGTAGAGAAGCATTAACTTGTTAGTATTAGGCTATGTGTCCCTCTTAACTGGTAACTAAATAATCAGTGGGGCACCAGGGCTACATCTGTGCTAATAATTAATAAAAGTTAAACAAAGGAGTTAGTCTCTGGCTTGGTAGCCAACTGCTGTGTCATGGGTTATGTTAATACAATGGAAACATTTTTAACCTCCTCCCTACCACACAGACTTGCAGATTTACCGTTAAGAGGAGGCTTATGGCAAGAACAAGCAAGTAAACATCTTAACATGCCGAGTTTCTGAATGAATGCTGCTTTCACCTAATTATGTGTTCTTTCAGGAGGGAAAAACTGAACACACTACTGCGGTGCTGGCTCACCTTCCTTTTGGAAGTCCTCATAGTCTGTGTACATGCAAGAAAGCAGTGTTCCTCATAGGGGCTACTATGATCTCCCTTACATGAGAGGGATAGAGATGATCCAGTTGCCAAGTTCTTTTTTCCTCTATAAATCATCAGAGCCTCTGTCAGTTGATTTCTTTGTGAGTCCCTTATCAGATTTCTGCCAATTGACTTTGTTTCCAAGGCAACCACTCTCTTGACAAGCCAGTTCTCTTCAATAGTAGGTAACTTATTTTTTAGAGTAGGTTGATTACATTTTAACTGCATAGTTCTTAACAAGACATTGCTGATTAAGTTTCAGCCCTACATGAAAGTGAAAAGATAACAAAGAAGCAAAAGTCTCTGTAACTAAAATGGAGTTGGCAGCGTGGTAAAGATACATGAAGGGATTTTATAATCTCTCACAAAATTTATGAATTGTACATACTCCCTAAAGATAAGCCTGCTGACCAGTCATTCTCATTTATGTATGTGTTCAGTCATTCTTTTTCTGAAAATAATGAGAGTTACAGTTAAGCCGTGTAACTTATGAGGATGTTTCTCAAAAGTACAGGTAGTTCTGTGAATACCAGCAGTACAGCAGTCTGCTTTCCTACTCACGTAGGGCTCTAAACTGGTAGATACTGGTGTTTAAGAAATTATAGGTTCCAACCAAACTTATTTTTTATGCAGTTCAAACTTTGACATGGTCTTACCCTTCATCTTGCATATGTGGTGTTTCTATCTGGTAAGTGTGAGGTTACCACATCCTTTGCTTCAATGTCTTTCTATCCAGCTGCTTTTGTTTCCTATGGAAGTGGTAGGATTGTTTTTGTTGAGGTTTCTTGGATTCATCCTATGGATTTACATTTTAAGGGAAGAGACATAGACGGGATATAGTTACATAACTCTTCCCAAGGAAAGCAAACTCAGACATCCATATTTGTATAGGCAGATAGTATCATGCCTACATGTAAGTCTGAACATACTGATTTCTGAATATAGCTGGGTTAGTTTTAGGTGACTAAAGTTATTCTCTTGCTTATCCAGTGTCCTTTCAGGTTATAGTCTTGATTTCAGGGATGGCTGAACCTCACGGAATAATTTCTTAAACTTTTCAAGTTTGTAGGATAAGGTATTCACATAAACGGAACCAAATTTTTATTTCTATTAATACAATGAACTGTATTTAATGTGTGCTGTAGAAACCCTCTTTCTTATAGATGTCAGTCTATTTTAGAGTGGAGATGCAAGCACTTGTCTTTTTTTTTTTATGCATTGCTTCCTCAGAGGAGTAGGAATTGCCATGTATGAGCTGAAATAATTGCACGATATTTTGTATAAGCATTTGGATTTTTGGAGCACTGAAATCCTCATGCTGTAAAAAGAAAGTATTATTCACTGATAGCCATAATGAAGCAAGTGTTCCTCTGTAATGTGATTGCTTGGGAAATTTTTGACTGATCACAGTGAGCTATCCAGTCCCATTTGTAGGGGAGTGATCTTACAAGAGCTTTGTCTTTTATTCTGTCTCCATCTGTTGACAGGATGACTTACATCTTCTGTCTGGACTGGCAGACAAGATTTAGGCGCCAATCCAGCAAACCACTTAAACAACAGTTAAGCTTTAAGCCTTATTGCAACTAAATTAACAGGTTTAAAAAATTGAAATAACATTGCTAACACACTACTGATATCTCTAGAAGGAAATTTAGGAAATTAGGTTGTATTGGTACATGAAATATAAATGGAATAAGAAGTGTTAAATTAAACGTACACTGAGAACAGAAAAGATAGATTAAGACCTTTGTCTTTCGTACAGAATTTAAAGGAGGAAAGATTCCTGTTTTATAGCAAAGAGAGTCTGTATCTTGAATATTTCTTTTAGATGAGTACTTGAGTGTGTAGCTGGGCAAACAGAATAGATTTATCACAGATGTATGTAGTAGTTTCCTCTGACCAAAGAAAGACTAATCATAATTATGGCATTACTCACTGTTGCTTTATGAGGAAATGACAACATACATGTTTCTTGTACTAACGGAACTAGTAACCACTACACAGTTAGCAATAGTTCACAGGCAGACCTGGAAATTCTGATATTTACATTAAGGGTTACTGAAGTGTTTGTTTCTTTGAAAATTCTTCTAATTAAATCTTCCAAAAGTGTTAATTCCATGAGAAGAAATCACTGTCCTTGTGTATGGATGCACATACAATTTTAAGCTATTCGAATTTATATTCAATTAAGGAAACTGATGATAAAATAAAAATTTGATCTGAGTTTAGTTTGGTTCAGTTTTCAGTTTTATTGTACAAGTGGAAATGCTTTAGGTTTTGTGTTCCATAATGGTGACCTCTTGTGGTGTAAACATGTCAGTATTTCTGAAAGACCTTTCTGTAATACATCCCGGAGGAAGTTGTATTTATATGTAATTTTTAATGAGTAGATAACCTACTAACTTAGTAAAATAACTTATAATCTTTTCCAATTAGTTATTAATATGCAGATCTCATACTGAAAGCATGTGAAGAAAGAAGCATTTTGAGCATTATATTCTGATATACTGTATGTGTGTCTATAACGTATATTTTAGTGACCAGATGAAAAAACCTGGCAGAAGTTCATCATGGCCAAAGAGTACAGGCTGGAAGAAAAGAATAACAGGTACTTCATAAAGCATTTCAATCTCCAGTCAAAAAATGTGAAATATGGTCAAATAGAAATAACCTAATTTTTGTGATTTGAAGATCTTTTTTTTTCTTTATTCACTGAACAATATTTTTTATTTTCTAGATGGATTGGGTTTTTTTTACTGTTGTTGTAAAAGTAAGAGAAACAATATTCAAGAGATCTTCACTCCAAAGATCTGTTGATATTTTCTCTCTTGTTTCTCCCATCCATTAACACCTTGTTTGCCCATCACTTGCACAGAAACTAGTAAAGTTATGCCAAGCTGCATTAGCTGAAGATACAGGTTCTGGATTGTCCCGTAGGGATGCATTTTGCTAATTGTACGTAACAGATTTTAATTTATATTTCCTGATAGCTGAATGCCACATTTCTTACATGGCAAGTGCATATCTGAGAGTCTGTGACGGAAACCCCAAGTTTCTACTCTGCCATTATTGTGGTTTATTACTATTTTTCTAGACCTGAGAAGTTGCATCATTCCGGATCATTGTGGCAAAGGCTGTAATGCGCTCTGCTTTCGTTTCCTTCACAGGAGCTGAGAGTATTTACCATGTCATGGGAGTTAGTATTCTGAGGGGCTATATATTCTCTGTTTATAAGCCTTTTAATTTATTTGTGCTATTTTATTGGTGCTATTGAAAAAATCATGTGCTATTAGCTACTTTTTTTTAACATTATGTATCTTCCTTAGTTTGTGCATACTTCATCTTTAATCCCAGAATAAACAGTGGGATAGCAGTAGGAATTCTCAATCATTTCTTCTCTGTAGTGGGCCCCTGAAGGGAGTGTTCATTTACAGATTATTTCTGTTTTCTGGTATGATTTGTGCTTATACTTTCACATTTTAGAGAGGAGGTAGAATGTTTTAATATTGATATATTCGTAGCCACTCAGTATTCCGTGAAAAGGCTAAACATGGTAAGTCAGGCAGTACATGGCTTTTGAAAGCTCGGTGTTGCTAAGGCTCTTGTATTTACATGCTAAAAACAGCAACCAATAAATGTAGACTGATTAGTGATTTTTGTGATTTTTTTTTTTTTTTTTTTTAGCAGAGTGCAAAGCCTGTGGTTAAGACCTATGAAAAACTGAGACAATGAACTTCAACTTGCTGAATTCTTTTACTTGAATATTTTTTCTGTTGAATTGTGATTCACTCAATTAGAAGTTTCAGGATAGCTCCTGAATATTTTAAATACAACCAGTGCCATAACTTTTCACCAGCACCTTAAAAATCTCCCAGGACTAATACATATGCGAATTTACAATTTATTAATGTTGCTTTTCTTTGTAATCATTTATTTCCTGTTCATTCTCATTGCTAGGATTAATATTGTTTAGTAAAATCTGATTATCTTTTTTTTTTTTCCTAGTTACAAGAGATGTTTATTTAAAAAATTATGCTGTTATGACTTTTAGGTTGCTCTATTTCTCTGATGAATATGAGACAACAGCAGCAGAGTGGCACAAAAAATCAGTTATTTTTGTTCTGAACTAAAAATTGAATGACTTTGTTAATTTTTTCTCTAGTGAGGAGTTTGATCATGTCTGCAAATGCATACATGAACTATTCTATTTCTTGCTTAATAAAGTTAAGCATGTGCGTTGTTAGAAAGTTAGTCCCATCTTTCAGTTTAAGAGAGGTGCTACAAATTGGAAAGAAAAGAAATAACCGAGTCAATATGTGGGTTTTGTGGCAGGAAGGAACAGTGCAAACTCTTCTAGTGTTCTCATTTCGGCTGTGCTCTTACATTATCCAGAGCAGAACTTTCACTTCTTTACAAGTGCTGCTTAGTGTTTTCTTAATTAAGCTACTCAGCAATCTAAATAAGTCTGTTAGCTCATTTGATCTAGAGAATAAAAAAAGGTCTGCAAAATAAGTAATAATATTACCTAATAACATATACTAATATTTATATATGCACACTGCAACAATATATAGTTATTATAATAACATAGTTACTGGTGTATTATTTATGAAACAGCAGCATTTTTGTATAATCTGTTGAAGCAGATATAATTGATAGATTCATTCTGTGTAAAATATAGGTAGACAGTTAAAGTTAATACAGGTACACAAAAAGAGTCTGGATTTTTTTTTTTTTTTAAAGAGCAAGCTTTTAAAATAGTCAGGAAGTTTTTAATTGTGTCACTGTTCCAAGTAGTGCTCAGTAGACAGTAATTTTTTTAAGGTCTGAGATACTGTTCTCATGATGCAAACCTCTTAATATCAATGTTCTCATGTAGTACATTATTTTTGTGTTTGATAATGATTATGTTAAGAATTTACATTGTCATTTAAATACAAGAGCTAGTAATGAACAGTAGGAGATACTTTCTGACAAATGTGTCACTTAAAAAGAAGTATATATTCTAGTCTTAATGGTTTCCTTTACGTTATTTAGTGGAGTTGTGTGACTTTTATTGTCCTATTTAAAAAAAACCCACAAAAACAAAACCAAGCCAAAACAAAAAACCTCAAGCCAAATCCCATCTTTGTAACAACAACTTGCCTGCAAGATAAAGAGCTTAACCTAATCTTGAACTCCAAAAATATGCCTCCATGCACCTTGTAAGCAATTGTTAGATCCTTTAAAACTCAAGTTCTGCGGAAACTCTGACTCTCCAGCTGTAATGGGCCAATGGTCAAGACCAGAATTTTGTCACTTCACATAGTGCCAGGTGAATGTGGAAAGGATGTTCAGCAAGTCAGAATAATTCCCAGTGATATTGCATCCATATGAAAATCAGTCCTGGAATCACTTTTTCAATAAACTGTGTTTCAACATCTCCCTTGTCCAATCTGAAAACAGATCCATGCTCCCAGTCTTCTTTCCAGAAGAATTCCAGACCACTGATTTTTTGATCTAAATTGATGTCAGCCGATAGACTCTTTTTTTTTTTTTTTTAAGCAAAGTGTAAAAAAAGCTGAAATATTTTTTAAAACTTCTCTCTGTGAAGTGGACAAATTTTCTGATAATGAACAGTAGCTCTTTCTCAGTCACTATGGAGGAAATTGGTTAAGGGTGGCCAAGAGAGCTGGGAGTTGGTTGCCTTCAAAGTTTCTGACATGTTTATTGGAGGCAAAACATCTTTCAGATACCTGTAGTTTGCTATTCATTTCTCAAGAGGCTATGTGAGAAATTGTTTAACGTGATAAAGAATAGGAAGGAAACATGTCTTTTATAAAAAATTAGTTAAGAATTTATCAAAACTGATTTAATGAAGTGGTTAGAATTACTAACAGGACATCATAACTAACAAGACTATTTTTTCCCTGACCAGAGAGTCAGTTAATCAAGCTTAGTGTACTATTGTGCATGTGTGTTAGATAAAATTGTACAATCCTAGAGGATTGTCTGTAGTATGGATGCTTTTTAACACAGAATAAGCTGTCACATGGACACAGAGCTGAAAAACAGTAGAACATATTGATATAAAAGTAGTCATTACCTTCCAATTCAGTGATCAAATGAAACATTAATGTCAGCAAACAACAACAAATCTGGCTTTAAAGTACAGCTTTACATATCAAAATATTTATCCATCTAGTTTTGTTTGAAACTTTTGTTTTTGAGAAAATGTAAATAAAACAAAAAACTTGAATAGGTAAAATAACCCAGAATACAGAAAAATGTGACATTTTTAGATTTCTTTTTTTTTCTGACAGGTAATATTTGTAGTTATTTATTTGTGCAAAAGTTGAAACCTTCACTAAATATGTACTTTTGTTTTGAATGTATTTTGAAGGCTTGGAGGATGAAACAAGAATGAATGAATCGGAAGAAGAAGAAGAAGAAATCTTTTGGCATATAAAGATTCTGCCAATTCTGCGTGAACTGGAAAAAGGTGGGTAACACTGTTCTTGAAAGGGTGTATTTTCTGTACTGTTTCCTGTAGGAAACATGGGACTCACTGTGTTTACTGTGAAAGAACAACAGTAGTTGGACTATGTAGCCTTTTATGTGTTCATGTGTTCAAATGTGTTCATGTGTTCAAATGCCTTGGCAATTGTCTCTAGGTGGCCCTGCTTGAGCTGGAGGGTTGTACTAGGTGACTTCCAGAGGTCCCTTCCAGCCTTAACCATTCTGTGATTCTGTAAAAAAAATACTGGTTTAGAGAAGATTTTGTCTGATTAAATTACCTTATTTTAGACAACATAACTCTGCCAACTCAGCAGTCAGTGATGAGGTAATAATTTTAAGAATAAAGTACTGCACAGATTCACTGTTTTAAGCATAGACTGTATTGGAGGTCTCAATTAATTTTAGAAAACTAAGGAAGTCTTGATGAAAATTTTAATTTGTGCTAAAATGTTTGGTGTCTCAGAAAAGTATGTAATGACCTAGAATATTGAAGCAAAATTGAGTAAATTAAGTATGACTTGAAAGACTGAACTCTGAAATCTATTTTAATGTTTAATTCAAAAGGTTATTTAGGTGACTTCTATAAACATTTTATATATTTCCATGGTGGGAATATAGAAAGTAGATTTGCTTTTACAGGTGGTTGAAAGTGAGTGTCAAATTAGGGGATTGATTCTGTTTTATGAGATATTTTGCAGTGTTCATTATAGCAGGATACAGATTAGCTTTTTTTTTTTTTGCATAATTTTGCAGATGTTGATGAGTGTGAAACACCTGTACAGTACTGAGTGATTCCCAAAATATATCATTATTTTAAAAAGACAGGATTCTCATTCTTGCATCTGTCACTGATGTATAGAGAGACAGTGATCAGGAAATGTGAATAAAACCATGCAACTTTACATTTTCCTCACTTAATGCTGAGATTGTCAAATATGAGCCACTGAGTTGACATTTTGCATAGTGAGATGTTCTTTATAGGCAAGCCAAATTTTATTTAGAGGTAAAATATGATAATGTCTTTCCCTTGTCGTGAATATAACTGAGGAAAATCAGTTTTCATGCCCCTTTTCCTTAGTCTTTACTTGATTTGGTTAGTGTGTTGAGGTTTTTTTAGCTTTTTTAAAAAAAATTGATTATGGCTTAGAGATTTTCTAATAATAGATGAAATTATCTAATGATACTTTCTTACCAGTTGATTGAGTGTAGTGCTACAAAAACCTTTAGGTTAGGAGTTTTGCTGCTTTTTGAATTTTCACACAAAGCGTAAATAAATTACATCATTGCCTCCTGCAGCTGTGTGTTATGTTGCTTTATTTAGGTTGTTTACGGCACAATTGCAGTTTTTCCTATCAAGATTAATATAAGAATCCCATAATTTTAATGCTTTGAGTGGGCCTGTTTGTAATTAAATATATTTTAACTTTTGTGTGCAGTCACTTGCTTCATACCTTTTAGCTAATTCCCTGCACATGCATTTAGGTCACATTGAGTTTTTAATAGAAAAACCTTTTTTATTCCTCTTTCTCCCTGAAAAATATTTGCAGGAAACTTTCCATTCAAAAACAAATCTGAAGTTTAACCTGGAACTTAATTATTATCTAAAATCCTATGAATATTATGCACTTGATATGATTGTTATATGACAAAAACAAATAGAACCTCAAAGTCTTTTTTTTTCCAGAGGAGCAAATACTTTATTTTGTTACATTCTAGTACTCAAGGGAGGTAAGCTTCAAAAATGGCCCATGGGATGAGTGGCGAATAATTTTTGTTGTTGTTAATTTTGATGAAATGGAATGGAAACCTTTAAATGTTGATTCTTTGCCACTCCTGTTTCACAGTGTATTGGAACAGAGGATTTAGAATCATGCTAGATTTTGTTAAATTTTCTGTTATGATGGGAGTGGAAATGGAATAGTCCTTGCTGTTCCTAGTGCATGACGATTGCAAACTGAGAGCTTCCAGGCACTGCTCAGTAAGAGGTGGGTCCTTGAATCTGCCCACAGGTTTGGGGCCATAGATGTAATGTTTTTTGTCGTAATTTCCTGTCTATGTATATTTCATCACAAGTGCTTGGCCTCCTTGAATATGACTCTATTTCAGCTGTGAACAGAGTTTATGCAGGCAGTATAAAGTGGGTTTGTACGGTGCTTTATTAGTGTCACCTTACAGACAAAAGCAAATGTAAGAAAAGAAAAAAAAAAAACAACCCCTCACTCTTGAATTTTAAAAATAGGCAAGACTTTCCCTTTTCCCTCTAAGGTAGACATGTACATGATTCCATGGTGTTGAGATGCAGCTCTTGTAATAGTTTACTGTCGGTTTTATTTTTGTATTTTTTAAATAATGTGTGAGGAACTCGGGTTAGGATAGGGCAACAGTCGGCTCAAATGTATCTTGCACCTCTACTATGCATTGGATAGTTCTAACAAGTTTTTACATTCACTTGTTTTTAGTCTCAGCAAGGTTTGATGTATTAGGTTGTGTGTATGGGCAGAAAAATATTCCTTAACTATCTCTTCACATGTAATGTTTGGTGGAGCTCTTTAAAGAATATATTAAGATTCACAGTTTCCTGATAGACATTGGGTCAATCTGATTATTAAGCATTAAAAGTGAGTTTCATTTTAGCTTTAGGTATTATTTGTCTCTGTGATGGCTCTACTTGAGTCTCTTCTTTTTGAAAGAGCAGCAAAAAACTTTTTCTGAGGATCACATTATCATTTTAAGAGATTTATTAATGCCTTATTTTTGTTGTGCAACCCATTCTTTATTTTGTTCTCCTGTGTCTTTTTCTATTGAGATGCTCTGGAAAAGGTGGCACTGATAATTATTTTTTTATTTTTCTCTCCCTTCCCCCCCACTTCAAGTAGAAGACAATATAGAAAATCTTTGTCTGGCTTGCACCAATCTCTATCAAGCCTTGAATGAAGGAAATATGCTTGGAAAAAGATTTAAAAGAAGAACCGTGCTTCTGAAGACGTTATATAAACTTGTAGACATTGATTCAGATCCACTTTGCCTGAAGCTGGCAAAGATTATTCTGACTGTAAGTGTTTTAAAATGTTGCTTGGTAGAATGTGAGGCTCAAAATTGTGAATTACAACTTGCATTTAATTTTTAATTTCACACTTTCAAACTATGTCTAAACTAACCCTTTGCTAAGCACAGTTTCTTGCCATATGGATCCTACTCTCCCATTCATCCAGATCGGCACTTGATGGAGCCAATTTTTTGCACAGAAATTAGGTCTGGGGACAAAGGAGGGACACAAAATAGGATTGCTGGTGTATGGTGGGAGGAATATTACTTAGGCATGGAAAAGAGACAGAGTCCTAAGCTGGGATACACATGCATGGATTTAAACAAAACAATAATTAAAAAAATTAAACATGGAAACAAAACTTAGTTTTTGAGTAATATCTTGAAGTTATTAAACACCTGTATCTGAAAATACCAAAACTGGGTTTTTTTGGAAGTGAATAAGTGTAAATATCTCTTTCTCTAGTATTTTGGGTTAAAATTCTTTAATATGAAGTTGGTGCTTATGAACCTATTGGTTCAGCTTCTACTAAGTAAGTATGGACAGTCACTGGTGAATGGATACCAGCTAGCATTGTGTGTAAGACATGTTAGTAATTTGTGTGTGTGTGTGTGTGTATGTGTTGGAGGCGAGTTCTCCTTTAGGGTAGTGTTTGTCATTTTAATCAGAAGTTATAATTGTATATTCAAATACTACATAGATATTAAGTGGTGCTTATTTTTTTAAAAAAAAAGTTCTTTTATAGACATTTTTCTGTGGAATCTTTTAAAAATCATGAACAAGAGAAGAAATTGCCCTTGAAATGCAGAGGAAAGGAAATGATTTTTCATTGTATTTTTAAAACTTTCACTTCCCTTTCATGATTTCTCAGTGACAATTAGTATATCATAAGATCTTGTTTTCTGATATTTGAGAATAACTTTGATTATGACATGTACAGTTGTACTGGAGTTCTTTGTGGTATGGCCATAGATGAAAAACCAGTGAATCCTGTGCAGGATTTCTTTGTAAGAGTGAATTAGGAAAAAAAGTGCAAGTTATTGATATATTACCTGCAGAAAATACGTTAAAATTTTATATATAATCTGTTATTTTAAAGGCAGTCAGTACAGTTTGCTAAATAGTGCTTAATGTAGCTAGGTTAACGAGTCCTTTAATTCTGCAAACTTTTCAGTTTGGCTCAGTGTACTGTCAGGGTTTCAGCTGGAATTTAGTAGGTCTGTGAGAATACAAGTTTGCCATGCTATCTGAACTGGTGAAATATTATGGTGTATTTTCGTATATAGATTTTAGTTGTGATTTTTATGTCTTTTTCTTTGCAGATGAAAGTGGATGGAAAAAATCTTCTCAGTGTTTGCAAACTCGCTTTTAAAATTTGCAGAAACGAAGAAAATGATTACATCATTCAAAATGAGGGATTATTGGGTATGTATTCTGTTCTCGTATATAAGTTAGATGTTGAAATTCAATAGTTAGATTAATCACCTTTCAAGAAACATTCTCAGAGTTAACTTAATCACGCACTAAAAATTGTCTTCTAGGTCAAACTAACGGTCCATCTAGTCCAGTATTCTGCATCTAACGATGGTGCTAGGAGATACTGTTCAGGGAGAACATGGAAGCATACGTGTTTTCTCTGATACCTTTCCCTTGTACTAACCCAGCATCCAGAACTGTAACATTCTGTGAGAGCCATTAGATGGTACATCCCTGCATAATCTGATTTAGTCTCTGTTTATTGATCTTTTGTTCATTAATTTGCCTAATTCCTTTTTGAACTTTCTGATTCTGTCTGCCTCTATAATCTCGTAGAGCAACAAGTTCCATAAGTTCTCTGTATGCTGTTTTAAACCTATATAATTTTTATCATGCCCCTGCTTGTAGTTTTGCAGGATTTGTAAGAGTTTCTACAGTCAGTTTACCTTACACCTTCATGGTTTTTTAAACCACAATCATATCACATATCTCTGCCTTCTCCTCTTCAGACTGAGGCATGCCAGCCTTTTAGCTCTCTCTTTGAAAGTATATTGTGTCATTCTCTCTGTTGTTTTAGTAGCCCTTCTATATACCTTCTCCAACTCCAGTAGATCCTTTTTGAGTTGTACAGAACAAAACTGTCTAGAGAAGTCAAGATGTGTCTATGCTAAATTTTATAGAAGCAAAAAAATGCTGTCTGTGTTGTTGGCCATCATCAGGAAGGATACTGACAACAATCATTGGCTTTTTTAGCTCCTGCAGTACGTTAAGCCAATGGTTTTGGAGGATTGTCAGCAACGGCTCCAAGATCTCTTTCGTGATTGTAACTGTATTTGTGTCATCTGCATACACCTTGCAAATATGAGAAATATGAAGAAAATGACAGTATATGAACGATACTTGGTAGCAATTGATGGTCATTCCTTTCATTTAAACTTCACTATGTTCTATAATGTAGTGTAAAAGCATTTATTGCACGTACGTAAGTTAAAGCGTATGTGTGTATCTGCTTAAATAGTTGAGAGTATTCAATGGTCTTAAAGTTTAGTATGTGAGTATGGTCAGCAATAAAGACCAGATAAGCCTTTCCAGTAAGTAAGGTCAACAGGGAAGGACTCAGAGAAAAGAGAACAGCTCACATTGCTCAACTGACTTTGGATACTGAAAACTACAGTTTTGTAGAGATTAGCATCATACAAAAATCTGGACAAGTTGAGTGGCTGTGTCTGTGTAAGCATTGGGTTTTTTGCTCTCATTTCCATCTTTGCTCACTTTTCTTTCACTTGCTCTTCTTTCCCTGTTTTTTAAAAACTAGTGAAGGAAAGAACGTTTTTGGTAGGGGTTTGTTTGTTTGTTTATTCAGTGTTTATGTTTTGGACTCACCTCATCCAGGCTGAAGACATGAACCTGGGTTATCATCGTAATCACTCAGATTCCTGTTGCAGTCACTGGGTTATAGATTCAATTTCTTTTTCTTCCTCTGGCCCAGCTCACTATTTATGTGCAGAGGAGCAGCTCTAGTAGAAGAAATAAATTAACCATTCATAAAGCAAAACTTTTACGGTAACTTTACCTACATAAAAAGTAAATCTAAAAAGGCTAAGGACAGACTTCAAATGTGAGATTTTAATTAGGCACCTGTGCTTTTTAGTGCTCCATTTGAGATGCTTGAAGACATTTGAATTTTAAGGAAGTAGTGGGAATAAACCTCTTTAGACTGTCTCAAGTTTAGTACACAAAATTCCAGGCACACACAATCACTTTTGCAAATCTTAACTGAGAATCCCAATGATTACTGCTATGTGTTTGCAACTAGTGCTGGTTCTTGAAGCCTGGAAGAACAAAAGTCAGGCCCATTCTCTTATTCATCAATAATTGTTTCTTGGTTTCAGTCCAAATACCCAATTTTTATAGCCCACTTACTAGAATTGTATTATAAAGAGTTCAATCTGTTTTTTTCCCCAATTGTTAATCTCTTCAATGGCTGGACTGTATCAAATATAAATGTTAATATTAGGCTTTTTGAATAATGATTTTCCTTTTAGATTGTTTGTTGGAGGTCCTGAAAACTGAAGATCTACACAAAACCAGTGAAGCTCTCCTGTATTGCATGGGAGCTATAAAATTCATGTCTGGAAATGCAGTACTTCTTAATGAAATGGTCAACAAAGGAGCTATTGAAATATTGCTGCAATTAATGAAGCAGATTAATAATATAAAAGAAAATGACACATGTTTCACCAGCTTGGGCCACCTATTAGTCCAGGTTAGCATTCACTTTTATTTCTAAAAGTACACAAATTAAAATAATTAGAGAAGATAACCTGACAGAGTTGTACCTATGTTTGAACAAACTTCCTTTTCAGAAGTTTGCATTAAGTTGTTCGGGATCTAAATTTAATTATGGTAGATATTTTTGTGTAGTCAATTTTAAAGGCTTTAGAAATTTTGAAGTTAATAGAAATATTATTAGGTACCTAATAAAACCAGTTCCTTATTACTTTATGGTGCTGACAATGTTCTGGATATTAAACAGATAAAAATGTATTCCCTAAATTCTTTAAACTGAAATAATAAATACAAACTGGTTCTGCAATACTCTAGGAGATTACAAAAAGCTTTTTATTACAAGAATAATGCATATTTTAAAAATGCATAGAAAAATACAGCTATGCTTCTTTGACAAAGTGGTTTTTAAGAACTACAATTTAAGGAAAAGGTAGTTGTAAAGGCCAACACTTTTTGAATGCAGCAGGCTCAAAACTTTTTACGTATGAGGTACCTTGCCTTAGGCTAGTTTAGGTAGAAACCCCCTTTTGGAAAGTATTGAGGAGGGATTGGGGGTCCAGAAGATATTCTGCTCTCAGTGTAATTTGCAAGGTGATAGACAGTGACTTAAAACACCTAAACTGTAAGAAAAGTAAGCTTAGATGAAGGAGTATGAAGCCCCACATATGGAATCTGTGCAGTCATTTCAGTGAGTGGAAATTTAGGTTGTAGCTTTGTGTAGGCACTTTAAAACCAAAATTAGAGATGTGTATCCTGTATCTCTTTTCATATCTGTATAGTTTAAAAATATTTATCCTTCTGAGAGCAGGAAGGGGATGGTTGAAAGCAAAGCATATTACTTACTGATGTTTGTTGGCGGCTGTTGGCATCAATCATATAATAAATATAATGAGAATCCTGTTGAGGAGAAAGAGATGGAAATTTATGTTAAATAGATATAAAAAAAAGATTTTGGAAGTTTGATCATTTAAAAACAACAAGTGATGTCCAGGTAATAAAACTAATGAATCATATTATTTTCAGCTCTTTGATTAACTGTATGAACTTCATCACAACTTTGCAGAAATGTCTTTTCTTCCATTATTTTTGGGTGTGTGGATAAATTTCAGGTTTTAAATCAAGGGTTTAGTCTGCAAATGTGTGAAAGGAAAATGTTACATTTTACAGGTTTTTTTATCATTATCATCTGTGCTGTTTTCAGTGTGATTGGAAGTGTAGCAAAACTATTTTGTACAGTTTGAATAGACTGACTGTTTCTAAGAAGGCCTCGAGTATATTGTGGGAAAGTCAGGACTGACAACTGTGTCTTACTGAGGTTGCTGTTTCACTTGTTTGTGTTACCCTCTATAGTAGTACAGATACTTCATTTTCTTCCCCTTGTGAGTCCTGCTGCTATGGAATTCCTGTGTGACTTTCTCATATCAGTTTCTTCAACAAAACTACATTAGTGTGCACTGTTTCTTCCATGTGAGTTAATTGTTCAGTCACCATAGACAGGTGTAGGAATAGTTCTGTTTTCATGTCTTCAGAATAAAGGAAGTTTTTGTGGCATACCTTAACTTATAGCAAAAGATCAAATATCCAGTGACATACAGAAATAATGAATAAATACAAGTCTTCAAGAATAGGGAGCAAATTATATAGGACACCTTAAATAGTCACAGTGGTCTCTGAGGGAGGCTTTGCCATCTCTTAATCCTGATAACTGAAATATCTCTGTTAACTGGGACCATCTCTTCGTTCGTTAACTGTATAATTGCACAGTCACCAGATGGCAGTGTTGTACATAATCTTGCCAGGTCCTTCTTGTGGAAATAAAGTCTCTCTCTGATTTCTTCCTTGTTACACAACAGAATTTTTGCAGAAGTCCCACAATACAAAAATAAAAATGTTTGCAATAGTAATTACTTTTCCTTAATAGGGGACATGAAATGAAGGTTATGTTTGACTCATTTTATGTTGCGTCACTTAATAGTCTGATCATATTTAAATGAAATATGGTAATGCTTATTTAAAAGTCAAGGCTTTTGAAGTGTCACTGACAAGACTTAACAAGTACTCCATGTTCCTTAATTGAAAAGCACTTAAATATCTTCTCCTTTAAAAATAGCATTTGTCTGCTGTTAAATTTCCTGTTTGGGTGAATCTGATCTTTCACATGGCAATATAAGGATGAGCGCTGGTGAGGTTTGGTAGAGCTAATTGTTATGCATTTCTCCCTGAATCATGGTGTCTGCTTGAAGCAATCAGAATATCTCTTGAATTAATCTCCTGTCTGGCTAGATTCTATTATTTTTTAATTTGTTCTCTTCAGATTTCACTTGCGTGCTGACTGTTCTTTTGTGGATGTATACTTCTATGAACTTTTGAATTTCATTGTCTCGCACATATAAGTGTGTGCATTATTTTACATTGCTTTTCCTTTCCAGCTTGTCTTTGTGAGAGGATGCCTCTTGACAGAATTTACTGCTGAAGGATTTTGAACTGTCTAACTGTCTCAGGCAGTGAAAAAATTTACTCTCTTTTTGGAGACCTCTGCACCATTATCTATTGATACAGTTTTGTTTGGTTTTTTTTTTCATCATCTAATATGGGACTCTCTTTGCTGCAGTGAAAGCCTTTGTCTGGGTTTCAACAACACTTGTAAAATGTGGTTTATCCTTAATTTTCTTCATTGTGAAGGTTAGCTAGAGCTCAGCAAATACTATCATAGGCTGATTGTGAACACTTTGTATGTGAGCACTGAATGGAAACTTCTGTGTCTATTCCATTTGGCAGGAATTTTTACAGCGAAACACTTGAATAGCGAAGTATTCAATCAGAATATTTTTATTTTAAAATATTTTGTGAGTATTGTGTTGATTTTGGAAGCATCGTGACTTGTGAAAGAATGCATATCTGCAAATGTATTTTTTTGCAGCTGTTTAGTTAAAATAATAAAAAACCTCCAGATGTCATCTTAAAATATGAGGTAAAAGCAAATGGCTTCCATAGGTTCAGTTTCTGTTTATTCTGAGTATAGTACCCATTTCATATTTAGTGCTGAAGTTAAATCCATTCACATATCACATTCAAATTGTCACATAATTTTTTTTTCCCTCTGTACCTTGCTCCTCCATTTTGATACGTTGTTCCTTCTCCCGCTGCTCCATTACAGAACATCTTGCATTGCATTTTCATTATTCACTCATATGGTAACTGAAGACGTGCACACTTTTGTCAGATTTGTTGAAGTAGGACAGCAAATTTGAAAGCTGCTGGAGATTGGACAGAGTGGTGCATAGAATCCTATGAGCAAAAGCTCCTCAAACACAACTTAACCTACTCTTTGTCAGATTTTTTCCTTTAAAGTTAGCAATTACGTATCTCTGGACAAGCAGTCCAATTCAGTGATAAAATTCTAGAGTTTTTTCTGATAGTTTTTGTGCTTTATCAAACTACATTTAAAACCAAATAAGTTAAATACCTTAGTCTTAGAATAAGGAAAATTTGAAGAATTCCCATATTCACATTAGATTAAATGACTTCACATTAATTTTATAGTAAGTTCTGGTTTAGATCAAGAGTTAACTTTGTGGTGACCCTACATGCCCTTGCCTGTCTGACCTTGGCATTTGAATACCCTTATCTGGGAAGAGAACCAGAGCATTTCAAACTACGCAATAGCTGATTCATTTTGCATATCTACAAGTAACATGTATTTTATGCTTAAATCTCCTTGAAACAGAACAGTATATTCTGAAAATATTTTGGTTTCTCCAAAATAAACTTGAGAATGTAAGCTTTTCATTTTTAAACTGTTCAAACAGTGGATTTCTCTTGATCTTGATTAACTTTTACATTTTTAAATAAAAATAAATATTATTGTCTTTTAAAACAAATTAATCTTTGTTTGCAACTTATAGCTATTAACATACATACTGTGTATCAGTATTAATTTGCAAGACTTAAATGTAAATTTGCAAAATCAGACATGAAAAAAATCACTTTATCCACAGCATTTCACCGATTTCCAATTGGTATATGGTTGTATACATGCATATAAGATTTTAAAACATATGTAAGATCATGTTTCCCACAGAGGAGGAGGTTACTGGCAGGCAAAGACCAGTATCAATCTTTCATTTTCAAATAATTATTTCAATATACACAATTTTGTTACTTACACATTTCCTGTTATTATTTAGCATGGCATTCAGATTGCCTTAGACGTTATAAATGAGATCTGAGCTTTATTAAATTTTCAAAACTGTGTGGATTCTGTTGTAAACGGCTATGATGAATAAATCTTTAAATATTCTATATGCAGCTGACAGCTACTTTGCGAAACTTGGTTGACTTATCTCCAGCAAGACGCCAACTCATGTGCAATGGAGCAGTCTCTGAGCTCTGTGTGGTGCTGGAGCAGCGTATGAATGATAAGGATGTGTGCTCCTATATTGTCAGGATATTCAGGTACGTACAGAACACAGTGCTATTTCTCCATGCAGTCAAGTCAGTGTTACTGCTTCAAGTGACCTCAAAGAAGGCATCATCAAGCACTAAAGTTGGAAGATTTACATTGAATTGTTTTTTTTTAAAGCTCTGTGTAGTTTTTAATGATTTTGTATTATAGTTGTGTCTTCATTAATACTGATAGAATTGTTTAATTGTAGCCATAGAAACTTGGATTCATTGTCCCTGTGAAAAATATTTTGTTGTATTGTGTCATTCTTTGATCCCTCAGATTCTGATTTAGATTTTTAAACTACCTTTTCTTATATTTTAAAGCTGCATAAATTATTAAAAAATTATTAATCCTATTTTAGACCATGTTTTAAAAAAGGAATGAGAGAAATTACACAAGCTTAAGTTATATCGTGGACCGTATATTGTGAAATAAAATACAAAAGAGAGGAAATGTGATCAGTGTTCATTGTTTTGAGCTATCACAGAGTGTTTGAGGAGATTAATCTGTGGGATTTGGGCTTGAGTGTGCAGATGGAAGTGCCGAAAGAATCTCAGTTTTATGAGCAGCTCAGTGGCTGCTTCCCAAGATGTGCTTTTGAGAGGGAGATCAGTATGAGTGAATCACCCCAAAAGATCCTTTTGTAGTCCGAATAGTTTCTCAATCAAAAATCTTCTAGTTACCAAGCACCAGCTTGAAATATCCAATGCTAAATGGACTTGCAGACACTTTAAGGATTTTGAAGAAGTTGTTAAATTAATCGTTGGTAATTTCAGGAAGAGTTGGTTGGTTGGGCACAATTAATCAATGCCATTCTGGATGAAGCATTTGCCATTGCTGCTTTATTATTGTATTGAGTGATGTTGCCTCTGGCTCCATGTTCATTGAGATTCTGCTATGGATTTCTTCTCCTGTTCAGCCCTTCCAGATTATCCATCACATTCTCCTCCTTACTAGATGAGATCAGGTTGTGCTTCAATGAACAGTTATGTAAGGGATTGTCATTCCTTCCTCTCCACAGCTAAAAACAGGCAAATCTGATCCTTCCCATTTCTGTTGCCTGGAAAGAACATGAATTGCTTCCCCAATTACATGCCACCTTGTCCGTATCTGTCTCTCTTAATTTTCTTCCTAAAAATGAGTTGTGTTCTAGCAATGATTACAGCACTTTGAACATATTTATTTCCTCTAAGGAGAGAGCATTTCTTCTACTTGGACAATGCCATGAAAAGAGGGGTTTGTAATTAAATGTAATCGATACTTAAACTGTAATTCTGACAAGGACACTTACTTGATCTAGAATTCAATATGGAGCAAAAGTAATTTGTCTTATTTAAAGTTTCCTACTGCTTCAATTTTTTTCCTGAAGTTTAGTGAACTGCATGCTCCAAGGATACAAATTAGCCATAGAATCTATTTAATTAGCTTCCTGGAAATTGCAGTCACAAAAAAAAATTTTAAAAAAATAATAATAATAAAAATTATACTATGCAGTACAGAGCACAGATTTGAATTTTGTTTTGTCTTCTAGTGATACAAAATGATTATTCTTTTCTCTCAGTCAGTAACGTTAGGCAACTTCTTTGTAGAGAATGTGTTCAGTCTCTTCAAATTACTCATTTCTCTAAGTCTGTAAGTCTTGCTGTAATGGGTTGTAATTGAACACTAACACAGATGTTTGCTGGGTTTGACTGAATGGGAAGTAAGAGGTTATCCTGGTTTGTTCTGTTGTTGCAGTGTTTCTGGTATGACCGAAGCATGTCCAAGTCTCTCTTTTTGTAATGGTCGAGGTGAGCAGTGTAGGATCAGAGCAGCTGTTAGGGAATGCGCAGAGATAAAGTCGTGACTGCAAGAAGGCGCGTTCTCCTTATTTGCTGGGGAGAGACATGTTCTGTTAGTGCTGCCGCTGGGCTGTACTTGGCATACTGTGCCCATATGGCAGGCAGGTTGGGAAGCTCCTTATGTTCGCTTCTTCCCGTAATTCACTGTGGTAAGGAGATAGCTAGGCTTCTGTTGTGCTCTCATGTAGCTCCATGTGCCTCTACTAGAAGCCAGAGTATTGGCATTCACTTCATTTGTTGGAAAATATGGCTCTGAAAGTCAAAAGCAGAGTGATTTGTAAAAACAATTTTTGTGGAAAAAAGTGTTTTCATTCATTTATATTTTATTTTTGTACCTTTGTAGCAAACTTTCTTGTGACAATGACTTCTGTGCAGCTTTAGCAGACTGCTCCAGATGTTACAACTTATTTTTAGCCCTACTAAACAGACACCAGAAGCAGCAGGTCAGTTTTTTTATCTCTTGATTTTTATATATTAATCCTCTGATGTGTCTGTGTATTATTGTGTGTAAGCTTGTTTTCAGTGACCTACTTTTATGCATTTACCAAATAAAAATTTTAAATGGCTGACAGCATTTCTAAGTAGTAAATAATTGAAATGAAATAGTTTAGATTAAAAACTCAGCGCAATACAGAGGACAAGTAGTTGATTAACTTGTCTATCCTTTACATGTGTATAAACAGTCCTTTGAGTACTTAATTGATTTTCTTAGTTTAAAAAAAAGCTTTTTAAAACAAATATTCTATTTGAATATTTTATAGTCAGAAATTGTTGGGATTTATCCTGTCCTCCTCCCCTGCAAAAGAAGTGTGAATTTTCCAGAGTTGAGCAATTTGGAAGCAGGGGAAAATTTGTTCCTTGATAACTGCATAAGGTATCAGAATGTATCTCTCCTCTACCAGAGAAAGCCGTATGCCTAGAATATCACATTTGGAATGTTCACCTAGAAATAAGTGGTTAGAGTTTGTCAAAATACCTCTTATTACAAGGTGAAATTATAAGAGTATACTTCTACCAACTTCATTAGAACACAGAGTAGTCAAAATACCTCTTATTACAAGGTGAAATTAGAAGAGTATACTTGCTACCAACTTCATTAGAACACTGAGAGTCAGGTGTTTCTGTATTAGCCTCCCATATCATAGTGATCTTTCCTACATTTACTGGAACACCAGGCTCTGGGAGTTTGGTGCAGAATCGCTGTTTTAAAGATTGCTGTGTTGGTAAGAGTGAAGTTCCCTGTGTATGGCAAATTACTCGGCTCTATTGCCAGGTAAGATTTAAGAAGAAAATAATTTTTATGTAAAGCATAGATCATAGTTCAAAGGTGGAACCAAGTTTGAAACACAGAACCTTAAATCACATTAAGATTATTCTTAAAAGTAAAGAACTTCTTTGGCTGCTGCAGCATCTAAACTAGTTTGAGGACATTTGGTTACACTATACAATTTATCCCAGGGTTAGTTATTCCCAGAGAATTGTTGGAAGGAGATCTTTTGTACTGGTATTGCTAAAGGCCCTTAATGAAGGTAACCAGACTGGCTGTGCTGAACACTATTCTTTCTCTTGGCAAATACAAAAATAATTTCTCCCTTTCCTGTTTACCTGCCTCCCTGTTTTCTGTGGTAATACTCATGGAAGAGGAACAAAGATTAAGTTGTTTCTATACTTCTAAATGTCTATTGATTAGTGTTTCTGCAGCATATCAGAGTATTTCTAGGTTCAGGCTGCTCTTGCATTGTGTAGTCTTCAAAGATGCTTTAGTAAAATACTGTGTAAATGCTATGTTAATAACATCAGAAATATCAAAGGCATGGTATTTTACTAGATTTATAGCTATTTTTCCTTATGAGCACTGTATTAAAAACTCAACAAATGATGGGACTGGGAATAAGAAGTTTAAATTGAGTAACATCTTCCTCTCAATCTTCATCTCTAATTTTAAGGGGAACTTTCCTAGGCTCCTGAGATTATAGCTTTGTGTCATAATGAATTGTTGGCTCATGTATAAATTAAAATTGTTTGTTGTCAGGTAGTGTTCAGAATTTAGCCTCTCATTTGTCTACTTTATTAAGTGGTCCTAATATATATCTTTCTTCAATAGATTAAGATTACTTTTTGTGTTAAACTGTCAGTTGTTTTATCAAAATATGAATTAGTAAAGAAATAGCTTCTGTATTAAAAAAACTTAGTTATTATAGAATAATTATTTCTTACTGCAGTTTTAAACAAGCATGCAACCGTCAGTTGTCAGTTTAGTGAAGCCCTGCAGAAACGAGAAGAGGGACATGGATAATGTAATGCACCACTTTTTCTGTAGTATATATTAAACACTTGAGCTGTGAGGAGTGCAAATGTTTTTCCTGGGGTGTAGTTGGCACTGCTAATCTTTCTTTTAAAATGTTGACAGCTAGTGAGTTACGGAGTGAATTGCTATGTGTTGAAAAGAAAACAAGTAACAGCAGTGTGAGTAAAATTGTCTGCTGTGGGAAGAAGCAGCAAAGAGAAGGATAAATCAGTATTATTAACTCAAAGCATTAAAAATTCTCAGGACTAAGAACTGATAAGTTAAGAAAGGAAGTGTGTGAGTTTTCTGAATTTTCAGGTTGCAGTTTGTGGGATCAGGTTTTTTTACTGGCAATTGTGACAGCTAGAAACATACTGGGGAAAAAAACAAAACAACCCAGTATTCAGACTTTCTCAAGTGCTTTCACAACTGCGACTTTAAAAATAAGCATTAAATATTGTGCAAATAAAAATGTGAGCACTGGAAATAGGATTAATGACTTGCTCCCACACCACACACTGAATTCCACAGCTGCCACCCAAATAGTCTATGTTCTCCTCACCACACTGCAGTTTCAGCTCTACTCTTTTTTATTTTTTTTTTTCCTTAGCCTGTTTTCTCTCTCGGGTAAGAGAGTCAGAAAGAATGGGAGAGTAGTAATTTAATTCTGTGGGAAAGACTTGGGGAAATTGAGTTAGCAAGATTTGCTAAATTCCCTGTGTCATAGTCTTAAGTAAGGAGAGGAGAACGTAAGATTGGAAAAGCTGGATCTGCAAGATAGGACTGGGGAATTCAGCAGTGCTTTTCTGCACATCTGAAGTACATGTTCTGTTGGACTTCACTTGTGGTTGGTTTTAGAGCTAGTGTGGAGTAATAAAAAAGTCCTTGGTGGCTGCCACGTGCCATGAAAGCTGTCAGAAGTGTTCTTGTAGAGCCTCTATCTTGCAGGATGAGGTCCTTTTTTTAGTCAGCATTGTAGTCTTTTGCCCATCTCCAGAAATCTTTTACAGAAATGTTTTAACAAGATGCTGTTCCCCTTTCCCAGGTGGTTATCATCTCTAAACTTTTCAGATAAACTATATAAAGGATGACTTTCTCAGGCTGTGGTTCGTGTCATAAGTCATGAGGAGGCCATGCTTTTGGAACAGGGAGATTGCCTAAATGAGGCAGTAGCTTCTGTCAGTAAGTCAGGCATTACCTGAGTTTAGGTGGCCTTTTGGGCCCCTGCGAGTTTTCATGTAATCTCTTATCAGTGTACAGTTAGGAGTCTATTTTCAATCCTAAGTGCACAAACACAGGATGTGATACTAAAATTTGCATAGAAGAAATCTTGTGCTTCTTGTATTAAAAAAATCCCTTTATACTTTATTGTAACCTACTTTTTTTTTAATTAGGGAACATTTGTTAAGTATCTGACATTACTGGATGCAGTAAGTGCCTATTTGGCAGAAGAATAATCCCACTGGGTTGCGTGAAAGGTTCACCCAGCCCACTATCCATACTTGCGAGTGGTGAAAATCAGATGCCTTGAGAACACTAAAAACAGAGCATGCATTTACAATCCTTACTTACCAAACCTCCAGCTCTTTCCATTTTAGAAACTTCCTCAGCCAGCTGTGGTTCTCTGTGTATGAAATAAACCTCAATGGACTACTTTTCCACCTTCTACAACATGGACACCTGCTTAGTGGAGGAAGGAAAGGTTGTGGATGTTGTCTGTCTGGTCGTTAGTAAAGCCTTTAACACAGTTTCCCACAGCATTCTCCTGGAGAAACTGGCTGCTCACAGCTTCGATTGGTCTGTACTTTGCTGGGTAAAAAACTGGCTGGATGGCCGTGCCCAAAGAGTGGTGGTGAATGGAGTTAAATCCAGTTGGCGGCTGGTCACAAGTGGTGTTCCCCAGGGCCCAGTACTGGGGCCAGCTCTGTTTAACGTCTTTGTCAATGATCTGAACGAGGGGATCGAGTGCACCCTCAGTAAGTTTGCAGATGACACCAAGATGGGTGGGAGTGTTGATCTGCTTGAGGGTAGGGAGGCTCTGCAGAGGGATCTAGACAGACTAGATCTATGGGCCAAGACCAATTGTATGAGTTTCAATAAGGCCAAATGCCAGGTTCTGCACTTTGGCCACAACAACCTTCGCAAGTGCTACAGGCCTGGGGAGGAGTGGCTGGAGAGCTGCTCAGCAGAGAGGGACCTGGGGGTGTTGATTGATAGGCGGCTGAAAATGAGTCAGCAGTGTGCTGAGGTGGCCAAGAAGGCCAACAGCATCCTGACCTGTATCAGGAGTAGTGTGGCCAGTAGGACCAGGGAAGTTATCTTACCCCTGTACTGGGCACTGGTGAAGCTGCACCTCGAGTGCTGTCAGTTTTGGGCCCCTCGTTACAAGAAGGAGGTGGAGGTGCTGGAGCGTGTCCAGAGAAGGGCAATGAAGCTGATGAAGGGCTTGGAAAACAAGTCTTATGAGGAGCATCTGAGGGAACTGGGATTGTTTAGCCTGGAGTGAAGGAGGTTGAGAGGAGACCTTATTGCTCTCTACAACTACCTGAAAGGAGGGTGTAGAGAGGTGGGGGTCAGTCTGTTCAACCAAGTAACAAGTGATAGGACAAGAGTAAATGGCCTCAAGTTATGCCAAGGGAACTTTCAATTGGATATTAGGAAGAATTTATTTACTGAAAGTGTTATTAGGAATTGGAACAGGTTGCCCAGGGCAGTGGTGGAGTCCCCATCCCTGGAGGTATGTAAGAGTCTTCTGGACATAGTGCTGAGGGACATGGTTTGGTCAGAGACTTGTCAATGTCAGGTTAATGATTGGATTTGATGATCTTAAAGGTCTTTTCCAATCGAGGCAATTCCATCATTCTGTGATTTTCCATGAAATTCTACAGTCTCCCGTCTACCCCATATAAAATTCTAACATCTTGAATATCTGTGGGAAAAGAGTTGTCATAGCAACTACCCATTGCACAAATAGTTCATTTTGCTTGTTTTGAATTTGGCCTTTACTATCTTTATTTTATTTCCTCCAGTTCTTACATTGAAAAGTTGGTGAATGTTTAATCCCTAGTCATTAATTTCACAGCACTCCTAACTTTCTAGACCTTTATCATAACCTCTTTGAACTCTTCCTTTTCCAGGCTCAAGAGTCCTTGCTTG